GGGAACAGTTTCATCAACGTATCGTGCTGTCAAAATTGCATTTCCACATGCAGGAAAATGAAGCCAGATCTATATCTCAAACCATAAACAAACACTAACTCAAAATGGATCAAATACTTAAGTGTTAAATTTAAAACCATAAAGTTCTTGGAAGAAAGTATGGGGGGGTGTTAAGGAATCAAATTTTTTTTTAATGATAGATTATCAAACTCAACAACGAATGCATGGGCAGCAGAAGACAAAATAGATAATTGGGGCCTCATAAAAATTAAATGCTTATGTTCATCAAAATACTTTATCAAAAATGTAAGAATACAACCTACAGACTCAGAAAAAATTTTTGGGAACCCAATATCCAATAAGGGTCTAATATCAAAAATATATATATAAGAATTCTACAACTTAACAACAAAAAGACAAATAATTGAATCAAACATGGGCAAAGGACTTGGATAGACATTTCACCAAAGAGAATATTCAAATAGCCAACAAACACATAAAAAGTTGCTCAGTCTTTAGCCACTGGAGAGATGTATATCAAAACCACAATGAGGAACCACCTCACTCCCCCTAGGATGGCTAAGATAAAAAATGAAAATAACAAATGTGGCAAGGATATTGGGAAATTGGATCCCTTTTCCATTCCTATTCAGAATGCAAAATCATACAGCCATTGTGGAAAACTGTAGCAGTCCCTCAAAAAATTAAAAGAGAACTACCACATGACCTAGCAATTCCACTCCTAGGTATACAAACAAGGGATTAAAAAACAGTGATGTGAATAAACTTACGCACACCAATGTTCATTGCAGCACTATTCGTAATAGTCAAATGGTTGAAACAACTCAAATGTCCATCAGGGGTTGAGTGGATAAAGAAAATGTGGTACATACATACAATGAAATACTATTCAACCATAAAGAGAAATGATGTACTGATACATGTGACAACATGGATGAATCTCGAAGACATTATGCTGAATGAAATACGTGAATTGCAAAAGGACAAATACTGTATGATCTCACTTATATGAAATGATAGGAATAGGCAAATATATACAGACAAAAGTTTATTAGCCATTATCAAGGAATGAGGGAAGGGGAGTGGAGTAGACATTGTTTGGGAAGCAGTGAGTTTCTGTTTATGGTGAAAGGGTATTTAGCATCGATTAGGGAAATGGCTGCAAAACATGATCAATGTAGTTGATATCACTGAGATATACACTTGAAAAAGGTTGAATAGGCACATGTTGTGTTATATGTTATATATATATATAAATATATAATTTCTAACAAAAAAGAAAAAGGCAGTGCTGATACTGCTCATGTACAACCAAACACCTCTCAGGATTTGTTTTCTTGGTTTGAAGGTTTAGGGCCATGGTTTCATGGGGCATTCCAATCAATTGGCCCAGCCCAATATTGATTTCAGCGTTTCTGTTCTACCTCTTAGTTCACTCTGTAGTGCCTGGTATCTTAAAAGCTTGACAGCGGTCTTCCAAGGTACAATAATTGGTCTCTATTCACCTGAAGGAGCACAGGAAGATGGAGGATCAGGAATTGGAGGATAACTGGAATACATGTCCAGTTTCCTCCATGAACAACTACCTCCTTTGCCTTGAGACCAGAAATGGTTGGTGCCCAGCTACCGCTACTGAACGATTTGATCAAGGGGGGTGGGGTGTGGATCAGAACTCAGAACTTCAAATTCTCATGGAATCCAGACTTTCTGAGGCTATTGCCTTGAGGAAATCTTTAAACGTTAAACCTGAAACAGAAGCTATCTGCTGAAGCCATCTTTAAACCAAAAAGCAGTTTAGCTTAATTAGAAAAGAACGTCTGCCTTGAGCATTGTGTTGTTTTAAAGAATTATCTATATGACAGCAAATTGACAACAGCAACTCAAAGAAGCTTAGGGGGCAGTGAGTTAGTGTTGATGACGGTGAAACAATTCGGAAAAAGACATCAAGAAAGGTGGCCCAACTTGAAGAAAGTAACCAATGTCACTAAATTGTACATGTAGAAATCGTTCAATCGATATATGTTTACTGGGTATATCTTCACCAAAAGTGAAAAAAAAGAAAAGTTAACAAAGAAGAAGTTAGGAAAGGGAGTTTGAATATAGGGTAAGGAAGCTGCACGTGTCTTTCTATGGTTCAAGAAGTCAAAAGTATATTATACTAGTAAAGGAAGAAAAAAGATAAGAAAGTAATATTTATGCATATAATCATCATGAGTTCTAGAGTCAGAACCCATAAAATAAATTTTATTTCTGGAGAGTAGGACTGAATGTAGGGGATGATTATCATTGTCTTTATGTGCTGTTTCATTTGAATCTTTGAAAATTGTGCAAATATTAAATTTATAAATAAATAAATTATAACAATGTATAGTTCTCACCCCTAAAATAATTTATTATGCAAAGCACACTGATGCCAAAGAGAATACTATTCCAGAAGATTTATGAAAGAAAAATAATTAGGTTTTTGGAATCATGGCATCTTCTCAATAAGACTGAAACAAGGTTTAATAAATGGTGGACTCACATTTAAGGGAAGAACAGAATGTGCATATATTGCAGTAATAAATTGTTAGTACTTAGTATCTGTAATTTGAGAACCTTCATAAAAATTGTAATAATATCCTTTATATCTAATTTGAATGATTTAATATAGTCATATAAACAGGTACAACTGGAAAAACAATAATCTGTTTAACACTTATTATTAAAAAAAATAATTAATCCTGCTGAAGGATTATTACCAGGATGGGATGCAATTAATTAGGCCTCTGAACAAAATGACCTGTTTTCAAAATGACTTGTTTTCAAAATTGAACAGAGAATACCTTGAAAATAATTAGGAGGAGGTGAATGGTCCAAAGAGCTATTTATGTTTAAAATATGTTTTTAATATTTCCTATCTTTTCTACAACATGGTAAATATTACAGTCAGCATAGCAAGCAATGTATCATGATATCATGTGAAAAACTATATTGCAGTTGAAGATAAATTTTAATGAACAGTATTCAACATTATTAATACATATAATGTCATTTGTCTTCGTTTAGATTGGCCAGAAGGGGTGGGGGAAATAAACCAAAAAACTAAGGCATGAACTTCAGTGCAAGGAGTTTATTTGGGAGGTAATCTTAAGAAGCAAGAGTAAGGGAGTAATGAGGATAGTACGTGTGTATCAATAGTGGGTCCATTTTGTTGGACCTCAGAAAGCTTAGGATCTTTGTAGATCCCAATCTCTGGCCACTTATCCCATATAAGGTGAAAAATCAAACGGACTGCTTTGCAACTCTGCTCACTAGGACTTTTACCATTTTGCTCTGTCTTTTAGGTCTAAATCTAATTGGGTGATAGCATGACAACAGCTACTTTTTAAAAATATTCCAATTAACATATTGAGCAAATTTATTTATTTATTGCTCAACGTGTTAGCTAGAATATTTTTAAACAAGTCTGAGGTTTTCCTTTGTCAACAAGTTTTAGTAAACCTTCATGAAGCCACTGGTGTGAACTAATTGAGAAATACTGAAGCAACAGATGGAAGTGATATGGTCTAGGATCCTTGTTCACCCTATTTATTGTGCTATCACAACTTTTTCTAGTCAAGTCCTAGATATACCATTTTGATTATTGGATAGATTACTATTGTGCCCACTTAATCTTACAGTTCTGTGGATCTGAAAATACCCAAATTATGATATTCAACTTCAGTAACATAGTCACTATTCCATGGTCACATGCTCAACTCTACAAGGGCCCAGTAGCCCAACAGGAGCTGCAACAGAACCCTACGGGTCTGTATTGCAAATCTCCTATTCATACACACCAAAGATTTCCCAATTGTAATATAATCTAACAAGGGTATCTTTACTTTCATTGAATCTTAGTGGTCATAAGTACCCAAGAACAGGTCATCTTCATACCTGAACTTGTTTTATATTATCTCCTGCCAAGAGTTTCCTTGTTATCATCAGATAATTTATTGATTTAATTCCACAGTCATTTCATAAAGGTTTGTTTCCTATAGCCACTTCTGGGGCAGCTATTTTTAGTAATATGATTTTCCCCCAAAGTGGAGCCTGAGATAAAGACTTCAGTGCAAGCATTCTTAGGAAGTGATTGCGTAAGCAGGAGGGAGGGAATGGAGAGACAGGCATTATGAAGATTACTGCTGTAGGCAATAGGGCTTGATTCTCCAAGACGTCTGAGAAGAATAGAGAATGAGTCCTAGAATTGTCCATCAGAAAGGTAAGTGGCTGAAGCATTTATTTACTCACTGGTTCTAGTCCCTGACTAGATGATGTTTTCCCTAAATCCTCTGTTTTGGTCCTACTTCTATAAAATCTCATAGTGCACCCTAAGAACAATGATAAATAATAGCAAACAAATTGATTACATCTTTGAAGCACAATAAGGACACTGAAAAAGGTCTTCTCTGGCAAGTGACAAGGAAAAAGCTGACTGACAGTGTCTCTGAAATCAAGAGATGTTAAGATTTCAGGCAGAGTCGGAGTAGGATGAAGAATATTCATGCAGACAAGGCCATATTAATAAATCATTCTTGTATATTAATCAAAAGCCTATATTTGGCCTATCAAATCATGCAAAAATAATTTAAAAATATGCAAGTAAATATAGTGGTAAATGTATATACTTTCTCATGTGTGATCTAACTATACATTAACCACTATGCTTACTTGCTATTTTGAAACTTAATGCATGATTTGATAGGCCAAATATAGGCCTGTGATTAATGTACAAGAATTATTTATTAGTATGGCCTTGTCTGCATGAATCTTCATTACCCTGTTCTGACTCAGCCTGATTACAAGAGATACTGAGACAGACATGTGGCATGGATATCAGAATATATATGTTGATCTGGGATCATTGGTCACATCTGACATTTGACCATTATTAATTCTCTTAACAGCTTAGGCTTTCTTAAATTAAATACAGCAAAACTATCTTTATACAAACTTACATTGCTTCTGGGGTCATGATGCAGACAGCTCCTGCGCACTGACATTTCTGACTGTCATCATAAGGGATCCCCATATTCATGCTCAGTAACTGAACTATAATGACTGCAAGTGATTCCAGACTTATAGTTTTGGGGTGCTGGAAAGAAAAACACAGATACATATGTGCACATTTTGGAAGGTAACTCATTTACCTGGAGAATAATGCAATTACCTTAAAATTCTCTTAATAGAACGCAATAGAGGGATCTAATTATGTTATCTATAGAAGTGCTCTCCACGTGGGCCTAACTCATATGTTACAGGTCCCATTATCAATATAGAAGACTGTAAGAAATGAAATCTTAAAATTTACCAAAATCTCATTGGATGACTCATTTGGTGATATCAAAAGCAAGAAAAAAATTTCCCAATGCAGCTGGTTGAATTACGTATATAACAATGATCCTCATGAAAAGGAAATCTTCAGAGATATACACATACACAGTAGTGCTAGGTGTCAAACTGTGAACAGGTTATGCTCATATATAATTGAATTATTTGGAGATATTATTTTATATGAATATTCATAGTTTTTTCTTAAATTATCTTTTTTGCATTAGTTGATAATATGGTAATAATGAATTATAATAAGAATGTTGCCTTCCAATAGTTGTTTAAACTTTATTTTCAGTATTAAAGTTTTTTTTATAACTTTTATTTTTGTAAAAGAAAGGTGCTTATTATAGCACACTGTGACTGCACTAAATCATATGAAGTTTAAAAAATGGACACATCTCCCAAATTACGTCTAAAATATTTTGATGAATGTATTTCAAGATATGTTTCTAGGCATATATTTTAGCTACCTTCCACTTGCCTCTCTAAATTAAGTTTCCATCATTTTCCACCCTGCTCTCTAGCTTAGGAGCTAAATAGATTATGCCAAATGGTTTCTTTTGCCTCTAGTTTGCCTTGATTCAGTCCAATGGAGAGGAGAGGATGGCGGGAGAGTGACAGCAAGGTATGTATTACCATAAAAGCCACAGTGCCTATGACTTGGCTGTACCTTTGATGGGAAGTTGAGCTTCTGTCTGAGACCATCATAACATGACTCTGCCCTCTCCTGCAAGCCTCGGGTGGCAATCAAATTTCAAATTTATTATTCGTCCCATCATAACACACTCTCCCTACACCTTGCATACACATTAATCAATGGTCTCCTTATCAAATTCTCATGTTTGAATGTACCATATGCTTTCGGTTGGTACTCTGACTAATACTACACAAATGGAAACAAGGAGAGGGAGAGAGAGAAACATACAGAAAATGACTATATGAGGAAGAAAATGAAGGATTCTGCTATATTTCAAGAGTTTAAATAGTAGGATATTAATATTAGTGCAGTTATATTAGATTGTCTTGTTTTCAATAAATCTTTATGATTCTCTCTTTTTAGGAATCAAGATTCCATAAATGCCTTAGATAAAACCTGTTAATATTGCTTAAATTTTCTAAATTTTTGGTCTTCAAAATTCATTAATTATCCAAGTATGATTATTCTGCTAGTAGCTCTTTCAATTTTTGCTTTATATATTTTTGGGGGTATGTGCTTAGGTACATACTGGTTCAGGATTATTATATAATATTAGTAAAATTTTGTTTAATCATAGGTAATTACTTAAAATTCATATTGATTTTTTCCTTTAGAATATTTTGCTGATTTAGTCTGGGGTCTTAAAAGCCTGTGAGCAGCCATCTAAGATACTCCACTGGTCTCACCCCTTGGGGAGCAAGGGAGAATGAAAAGAACAGGATACAAGGAAAAGATTAGTCCAAAGGACTAATGGACCACAGCTACCAAGGCCTCCACCAGACTGAGTCCAGTACAGCTAGATGGTGCCCGGCTACCACCACTGACTGCTCTGACCGGGATCACAACAGAGGGTTCTGGACAGAGCTGGAGAAGGATGTAGAACAAAATTCTAACACACACAAAAAAGACCAGATTTACTGGCCTGACAGAGACTGCAGAAACCCCGAGAGTATGGCCTCTGGACCCTTTTAGCACAGTGGTGAAGTCACTCCCAAGGTTCACTATTTAGCCGGGGATTGGACAGCCCCATAAAACAAAACAGGACAGCAGTCCAGGGACAAGGACTAGAAGGCAGAAGGGGACAGGAAACCCAGTGATAGGGAACCCCAGGTTGAGTAAGGACAGTGTTGACATGTAGTGAGGTTGTTAACCATTGTCATAGGGCAATATGTATACTAACCATTTAATGAGAAAATATTTTGTTCTGTAAACCTTTATCTAAAGTGAGAATAGCAGCACAACTGGAAGAATGTAATTAATGTCACTGAATTGTACATGTAGAAATTTTTGAAATGGTGTATCTTTGGCTATGTATATTTTCACCAAAAAAAAAAAAAAAAAAAAGGTCGAGAAGGGAGAGGGTTGATATGTTGTGGGGTTGTTAACCAATGTCATAAAACAATATGTATACGGACTGTTTAATGAGAAACTATTTGTTCTGTAAACCTTCACCTAAAGTAAAATAAAAAAAATTTTTTTAAAGAATATTTTGCTGATTTAATATTGAATATGCAATGGACTGACAAAAGAACAATTTAGTCTTGGAAGAAATACAGCCAGAGTGCTCCTTGGAAGTGAGGATGGTGAGACTTCGTCTCACATACTTTGGACAGGTCATCAGGAAGGACCAATCCCTGGAGGACATCATGCTTGGTAAGGTACAGGGTCAGCAAAAAAGAGGCAGATCTTCGACGAGAGGAATTGACATAGTGGCTGCAACAATGGGCTCAAACATAGCAACGATTGTGAAGAATGTCACAGGACTCAGCAGTGTTTCTTTCTGTTGTACATAGGGTTTCTATGAGTTGAAACCAAATGACAGCATCTAACAACAACAACACTGTTACTTTTCCTTTGGTTATTTTGGGGTCATTTCCATACCCTTTATTTTAATATTTCTGTGGGATTAATTATTGTGGGTTTGAAACTTGTAAGGAGAGAGAAATCTGATAATTTTTGTCTTCAGCAGTTGAAATTAAAACATTTTTATCTGTTTTCAAAGTCATCCCTTTGGATTTATTCATAATATTTTACTTTAGGTAGTTGTCATATCTTTTAAATAATTTCATTTTATGTGGAACACAAAAATTTTAAGTTCCTTGATGCAGATACACACACACAAACACATACATATATATATATTTATTTTATATTTATATACAACGATTTGCTTGTATGTGATAAGTTGCTTCTCTCTTCCTGCTCTCAAGATTCTGTCTTTGGCTTTTGAGTTTGATGACAGTGTGTCTCAGTGTGGAGATCTTTCAGTTTATCCTATTTGGCCTTCACTGAGATTTTTTCATGTATAGATCCATTGGCTTAGTGTCTTTTCTAGACTACTTTTGCTAAGATTGTATTTATTGTAATTTTGTTGTTGTTGTTAAGTGCTGTCAAGGCAGTTCCAACTCATAGCAGTGCTACGTACAACAGAATGAAACACTGCCTGGTCCTGCACCATCCTCACAATCCTTATGCTTGAGCCCATTGTTGCAGCCACTCTGTCAGTCCACCTCGTTGAGGGTCTTCCTCTTTTTCACTGACCCTCAACTTTACCAAGCATGATGTCCTTTACCAGGGAGTGGTCCCTCCTGATAACTTGTCCAAAATATGTGAAAGGTAGTCTCGCCATCCTTGCTTCTAAGGAGCATTCTCGTTGTACTTCTTCCATTGTCATTTTACTCACTGTAATCTCTATTCCATTTACTTGTGTTCAGCTACTGTTTTGACAGAGTTTTCATCAGACACCAGGAGACAAAAAGAGAAAGACAAAAAAAAAAAGAAAAAGAAGGAAACAAAAAAGAGAGAGATTTTAAAATAAGAAAATAAATCTTCCACACTTTGCGGATTGTCTCTTTGCTGGGGAACTCCTTCAACACTTAGCTAGGCTTTTTACAGCTCTGCCTTAGCCTGTACTTCCTGCTTCCACTAGACTTACAGATCAGCGAGTGGTGAATGCTTAGGATCTTTCCAGATCTTTCCTGAACATGCATCCTGTCCTTGACATATTTGTGGCTTTCTGAATTGCCCAGTATAGATGGATGCCTTTGAATGCCCTAATTTCCCAAAGAAATTCTCACTGGCTTTTCCTCCCATGGTTCTGACACTCTATTATATGCCTCAACCATAATCTTTTCCCCTAGGTGGCTGTAAGTTTTTCATTCACCTTACAATATTTTTGAGGAATGCCCACCACTTTTCCACCGTGAATGAATCCCAAGTTACGCAAAAGAAAGACAAATGCTTTGCATCAGCCCTTCAAGTAGTCCCCAGAGAGGTTAGAACAAACACAACTACTTGTGAATAAGGTCTTCTCTGCTCCTTCTGGAATGAGGGACCAGGGTTCTGCATAGGTAACATGAGCTGCCATCTTCAAGACTGCTGCTGAGCTGGGGAGTAGGTGGGGCAAAGGCAGCTAAAAATGCCACAAAGCTCTCCTTCCATTTTCAAGTTGACTCTTTCTTTGTTCAGCATTTGCTTGATTGCTGTAAACTTTTGACTATTTTCCGGGGTTCTGACAAAGTCATTTCTGACAGTGTCTCCTTGCATTTTGATATTTCTATGCAGGGATATGCACTTGGAAATGACTATGCTGCCATGTTCACTGATGTCACCCATAACATCTTTTCTTTATTCATGAAGACACTGTTTTTTCTCACCTCTCTGATGATATTATTAAAAGTGTTGAAGTTTTATTCCATATGCATAGTTTTTTTTTTTAATTTCTTCCAAGATTCTCCCTGCCTCTGCCCTCGTTTGTAGGTACTAGTTTTTAACTTTCTTTTAGAAGTTTCTCTCAGATATTTGCTAATTCTGCTTATAATACTCAGAAACAACAACAAAAGCCTTTACCTTTGAGTTGATTCTGACTCATAGTGACCCTACAGGACAGAGTAGAACTGCCCCACCAGGATTCCAATGCTGTAAATCTTTGGGGAAGCAGACTGCCACATCTTTCTCCCACAGAGCAGCTGATGGATTCAAACCACTGAACTTTCCATTAGCAGCTGAGTGCTTTAACCATTAAGCCACCAGGCTCCTCAATAACAACAAAAACGTATTGAAATATCTGTTAGTTTGTTGGCTTTCAGTTTCAGTGTGTTACAGGTGAAACTTAACTTGGAAATCCCTCAAAGCCAGTAACTTTATTTTACTGTTAGAGTCCCCATACCAGAGTGTTCTGATTCCCTGCCTGACAGTAAAGGTATTGTTGCTTGAGTTCTTGGAGCAGTATGTCATAGGAGAACTTGGAGTCTCAGCAAGCAGCATTTAGTATTTATACAGCTGATCTTAATTTTTTTATACTGTTTCTAGAACAACAACTTAGCCTAGCGCTCTACAGCACAGAAAAATCTTTATTGCATATTTCGGTCAACTTGGGATAAAAGTTTCTCCTCCACAGAGTCAGGTGAAGAATAATATCTAGGCATCTAACTGCTTCTCAAGTAGTTGATAAATTGTTCTCATCAGCTTTCCCAACCTTTATTCTAGTTCCTGAATTACGTGGTAATGCCATACTTTGAGATTTCTGGGAATCCTGTGGAGCAAATTAAGATCTAGGTTTCCCAAGTCAAAGTTTTACAGCTGCTGACTCCACTCTGTCCTTGTGGGTTTATATCTTTTAAAAAAAAAAAAAAAAAAACCCTTTCTATAGGTTTAGTATAGCTTCGGGAGGAAGTAAAATAAGATATAATTATTTGATCTACTACAGTCATGCGCCCCATAAAGTTTGTTCAGGCAAATCGGACTGCATATATCTCCATGGTCCCATAAGGTTATAACGGAGTACAGAAATCCTGATCAGAGAATAGGATGTAGCAGATGTAACAAGACGTAGTGAATGCAACAGTCTCCTGCATCCAACACCTGTATCTCACGCCTCTTGTATATAAAGGAATCGTGTTGCCAATGTATAATGCTACAGTATATATACAACCTATAATACATATGTCTTGATAGTCATAATAAATGCCTATGTTACTGGCTTATTATGTATTGTACTGTACTTTCTATCTCTATTTTAATGTGAACTTTCCCTATTTACAAATAAAAATTTTACCATATAACAGTCTATGCTTTGACTCACAGGCAGCAGCATCCATTCTCACGTATTGTGCGTCTCTTGAGTGTTGTAGCATTATCTCTGTTCAATTTTCTTTTGAAAATATTACAGTGAAGTGCATCATGGCTCCCAAATGCAACAAAACCAGTGCTAGTGACAGCAGTAGTATCCCATACAGCTTTGCTAAGTATATAATACGGTGTTCATACAATATTCAAATCACATAATGTCCTATTTCACAGAACGTATCATAGAGGTTAAGCAATGCATGACTGTATTGTGAACTGGAAACAATCTCTTATATTTTTCTGTATGACATATGTTTCTGAGAAGGGTATGTTACTATTTTCCCTAAAGTTAATTACATGTTGCTTTATATATTTTTGAGACATTATTATTAAATACGTATATGTTTATGATAGATATTTCTTCTTGTTTTAGTGATAATTTAATAGCTTTGTGCTTGTTTGCTATTTATGATGTATTTTACTATAAATTCTACTTTGTCATATTTACTACTTGATTTTTACTTGACTGGAATATATTTTACCATTTTATATTCAACTTCACTTTGTCCTTTTATGTAAAGGACTAATGTTTGAAACATTTTCGCTTTTAAATCAATCAGAAAATCTCTTATTTGGTGACTTTAACCTATTTACATTTACATAATTGCTGTTACATTTGAATATATTTAAACCTTTTAATTTGATATTTTCTATTCATTTTATTTTAAATTACTGTTATGCTTTTTCCCTTGGCTATATTTACATTTCTTCCACTGCATTAATTGTTACATAGTGCAGTTCTGTTCTTATTGTTTGTACTTAATTTCAATACTCATTTCATATACTTCTTTTCTCTAAAACTTAACAATATCTATACTGTTCGAGAACACAAGTCATAGCACGCATTCATGTCATTTCTCTCTCCTTTATCTCTCAGCAAACCATCACAGAATACGAATTTTGGTTTACTATAAATATACTTATATCCACCACCACTATCAGCCCAAATCCAGATATTTTTTAAGACAACAATAAATTCATAAATATTTTTCACTTTTATTGTCATAACTCTTACAGCTATTCATGGATTTAAGTCATTTCTGCAAATATGTTTTCAAAGTGAGTCTGTCCTTGGCAAATGTTTTGAGGCCTCGTATGCCAGCGAGTATTTTTATCGTACTTTATATTTGAATGAAAGGAACCTGGATGGTGCACGTGGTTTGCAACTGGCTGCTAACCTAAAAGTTGGTGGTTCAAACCAACCCAGCAGTTCTCAGGAGGAAAGTCCTGGCAAACGGCTTCCATAAAGATTACAGCCAGAAAACCCTCACAGAGCAGTTCTACTCTGTAACACATGGGGTCGCCATCAGTTGAGGGTCGATTCGACAGCAGATAACAACAACATACTTGAGTAAAAAAATTGTGTTTAAATTGTGTCTTCTAAGTAATTTCCCTTCAATATTTTAAGAACAAAGTTGCAAAGTTTTTGCATCCAATGTGGCTTTTCTGTCTATAGAATTCTTCTTTCTTATTATACGATTATATGATCTATGTTTTGGAAACTAGCTATTTTTCTTCGTATTTGATATGTTTCTTTTCAGTGTTAATATACATATTTATCGGTTCTTTTTGTCCTTCTATGTGCCTTTTTCATCTGACAATCTGGTTTTATGCCCTCCTGCCAGATGCTGCAGCATGACGGACCATGGTGAGCCTACACAAGGGGTTTCCTAAATAGGCACCTTGTTGATATGGCATTGGCTGAAGATAGTGTTCTATGAATTCTGTAATTCTGTGAAATGTATCTATATTATCACTTCAAAATTTTTTTGTCTTTTAAATTTTTATTTTCTTTACTCTTAGTTTCTAGATATTAGCATTTGGGTTGTGGTTTCCTTTATAAACTTTTAGGTAGGAGTAGCATTGGAAGAATATAGTGCCTAGGTTGTATTCCACAGCCCTGGGGGAATAGGTAGGGATACTGGTGGGTGTTTAAACATCACAGGGCTGAGTTCCAACCTTTTTTTTTTTCAATGTCTCATTTCTGTGGCCACTGGCTGCTGCTGATTTTTCCAGTGAAAGGTCAGGCAATGGATCATCCCAAAGAAGTGTGAGGAATAGAAAGAAGAAAATTAGAAAAGCTTTTCTCCAATTGTTCCCCTAATGACAGAGAATGCTGTCCTCTGCTCATAAGCTACCCGCTTTCCATAAACTATAGCATTTCCTTCCTCTTTGTAGCTAACCTACTTTCTGATAGCCTGATTTCCACTCTCCTCTCTGTTAATCAGTGAAGGGACTTCTCCATGTGAGAGTGTATGGTCTTTCAGTGTTGCATGTGACTGGTTAAGTCAGCCAAATGCCAGCTTTTGAGGTTAAGTAAATCACCTGCCCATAAATATAAGCCACATTTTCCAAACTATGATTTATTAATTATAAAGACAAAATTTTGTCTCCTTTTGATTGCTTCATCTGTATATCTTTAAATAGTTCATACTTGTTAATTGAATTCATTGCCTCCCTCAAACTCTAGAAGACATTTTAAAGAAACGAACAAAAAAGGCAAGTTTCATTTGTCAAAATAACGATAGCATTATTAAACAGTTACAAAAACAGACAAATTTTGAGTGCACCAACATTTTCTACTAAGGTAAACAACGTTTGTTAGGGCACAGAACTTAAAATCTCATATTTGGTTCAGTTATTCTTCATTTATGCCCTATCTTAGGCTCGGTTCTCTAAAGAAGTAAAACCAGTGAAGTGTATATATACAGAGAGAGAGATATATCTCAAAGAAATGGCTCGCACAGTTGTAGAAGCTGGCAAGTCCCAAATTCATGGGTCAGGCATCAGGCTGGAGGCTTCTTCTGACTCATGTAGCTGTAGGAGCTAATGAACCCAAGATTCACAGGTCACTGACTCAAGTGCCCAAAACTGGAGGTCAGATGTAGGATCCAGAGCAAGTGAGCAAACTTTGTCAGAACATCCATCTAAATATTGGACACAGGCCACACCCCCAAGGAAACTCCCTTTATGACTGATTGGCTGATCATATCAGATCACATCATGGAGGATGACTACATCATTACATAACTGCCACTACATCATTACATAACTGCCAAACTACATCATTACATTACTGCCAAACTACATCATTACACAACTGCCAAACCACTGAGAATCACGGCCCAGCCAAGCCGACACACAACCTTAACCATCACATGTTCCATGAAGCATTTAAAAGCAAATGATAAGCAGTTTAAAAAGTTACATTTTAATCTAGTTCAGGATTACATTACCGACATAATAAAATATAAAAAAAAAAAAAAAAATCTATGCTTCAAATAAAAATAAAAAATTATTCAATACTAAAATTATGAAAAATTGATGAGAACATAATAATATAACTTAAGTAGAACGGAACCCTTAAAAATAACAACTTTCTAAAAAAGGATAGGTTGAACATACGAGAGGAAAAATTATAAAAATTTTTATATGTACAGGTTAAATGAGAATTTATATTTCAAATGTTTCCATCAGCAGCAGAGAAACAGATCCTTAGAATCCTAATGCAAATAATAAATACTTAGAAATAATAAAATAAGGAAAATTTTAACCATATGTTAACCTATATAGCATTCTATCTATACATCTTAGCCAAGTAAATTAAATCTTACCATACCAGAGCAACACCTCCTCCATAGTTGCTATCACACATCTTTCCTTGAAAGGTTGCACCAACATAATTTGAGTTTTCTCTGTAACTTAAGTTTAAAAAAGCATCAGAATTTGAGTTTAAAAAATTATCAGAATTTTTTAAAACTAGAATTTTGTAAAACCACACACAGTTAATATTAAATTTTTAAGATGATTTCAAATTTTGCATATTTATATTAACCTAAAAGATATTTCCACCTAACAGTAATGAAGCAAAGAATAAGGAGTGACTAAATGCTTCTCCTTCTTTTAAACATGATAAAATAGACTTAAAAATAAATAACAGGAAGTATGTTTTCATATGAACCTAGAAAATAATGAAGATTCAATTTTTCTGTAGTGTTTCTTAAAGTAAAATAAATAAATTCAATACATTTCAAATAACCAATGAATAAAAGCCTTTAAAATTAAAAACCTCAGGAAATGCAGTTGATAAATGGGCAGAGTCACCTTATGGATCAAATAGAGTTAGCCAGCCAGAGCCATGCAAATGTAGGGCTTGTTTATGAGAAACATAATAAGAAGGATTAGCAATATATATATATTTTATGTATATATATAAATACATATAATTGTATATGTACAATTCAACCTGAATATTGATAAAAGAAAAATAAAGATATTATTAAATAGAAGTAGAGAGTTACATTTTAAATATAGTGCAGTGTGAGTATGTTATGACAGAAGCATTAAAATATACACTCATGTTTCCATATATTTGTTAGTTTGTTTTAATTTGGGCAACAAACTAGAAGAAAGCCAAGTTTACTATATTTATGGAATTCAAGGATATTTTTTCAGATCGATTTTACTAGTTTTATGAATAGTTAGGGACATTTCATGACATGTTACATTCTGGTAACAAGATTGAAAGAGTGACCTTTACCTACAAACCAATAAATAGAATGATATCAATAATTCCATTATAAGACTTTGTTGAAAAAAATAAATTCACACTATGTTATATGTCAGGAAAAAATGGCACATGATCCCTACCCCGCAGGACTATCCACAGTCAGATATTAGAAAAGACATGGAAATATTTTCTTTGTATAAGCTTTAGTACTGCCAAGATATTATGCTTACACAAGTAAAAATGCCACATCATGTGGACGCAAAACAAGATAAGATCTTTTCCATATTAAAAATCTGTGTAATAACTCATTAGCATCTCCAGTAGTCGAAATTTTATTTTCATCTATCCAAAGCTCCAATGAAGATAGAATTACTGTAATATTAAATGAAGTAAAAATCTAAAATAGAAAACATGGAAAATATGTTCAAACATTATGGTTTAAATAGATTTGGGAATATACTTAGGAATATAAACACTATATTGATAACAAATATTTAACAAGTAAACTGTAGGTCAGATTGGATCTTTCAAACTATAATAATAAGTAAAAAAGTACCACTAGTAATACAAGTAACACTGAACAATTTTAAATGCTTTCACTTAAGCCTGGCTTGTGCCAAGTGTTTTATATAATTTAATTCTTACAACTTGTTTAGGTATATGGTATTATTATTTCTATTTTATAAATAAGAAAACTAAAACTTAAAATGGTTATGTACTTTGTCCAAGTTCACTAAAGATTTATGTTCTGGCAGTGTCATAAAATAAGCTAAAGTAGTTGTTTAAGTAACACAAACAAATGCAAAAGCACTAAAAAGCAAATACTTACAGCATTGATCAATCCAATCAACTGGAAAATTTTTTCAGCAACAACAGCCGTGTCAGAGCCCATGTGATCATACTGAAAAATACAATTACCTTTTATATCTAAATGCATATTATTTATTATTTGATGATTGCTATTCTTCTGTTTAAAATTTAATATTGTGAAATATTATATTGATTAAATTACCAGTATACTAGTTCTTAAACAATATTATTTTATTATTAAAGAAATCATACAAAACTGTGTGAAAAATTAGAAAATATTTATAAATACAAAAAAACTACAAACCAGGTATAAGTATACTATCAATTTATTAAATAAAAATAACATTTTTTGGAAAAAAGCTCTAAATTATAATATTTAAATGTTTTCCAACAGTGAAATCTTAAATCTGAAAGACTGTAGACTGAACACACCTATTCAAAGCCATGCCTGCCTGAAACTTCATTAAAACAATTATAAAAGTATCAATACAAAGATGAAAGCTCCAAGAAAAAAAAATTACAAAACAAAATTTGGAAACAGGAAAACGTATGTATCTAAAATATTTGAATCATTAACAAGTACAGCATCCTAATTCACCTTGCAAAACCCAAAATACTTAAGGACTGGCTACGTCAGTTTCTCTGAAAGAGAGAAAAAATGGCTCTAAGAGGAGGTAGCTTGATTTCAAAGCTTGTTCAAGAAACAGTTAAGGGAGAACTTCCAGAATGGTTATGTGGATGGTTCCATTTACATAACATTCTCGACAAAATTACAGAAATGGAGACTGACTTCTGGTTTCCAGAGATCAGGGAAAGGCAAGTAAGGGGAGGTGAGCATGGCTGTGAAAATATAACACAAGAGATCCTTGGGCTGACGGAATTGTTCCATATCTTGACTGCATCAATGTCAATATCCTCGTTGTAACACTGATATTACAAATGGAGAAAAACTGCTTAAGAGGCACACTGGATCACTCTGCAGTATTTCTTACAACTGCATATACAGTGACCTCATGAATATACGGTAATCTCAAAATAAAAAGGTTAATTAAAAAAAATTAAATGACTATATAAAAACAAAGAATTAATATAGTATTAGAAAATACTCGCTTATGACAAAAGAATGTAATAGAGGAAGAATAGAGAAAGTAGTTATAAAACAGATAGAAAACAAAAATTAAAATGGCAGACGTAAATAAAAACTTATCAATAATAGCATTAAATTTGAATAGACTATATAATCCAAGTAGAAGTCTGAGATTTTCAGACTTGATTAAGAAAGCACACACACACAAACAACAACAAAAATAAAACCGCAAGAAACAACTACATGCTGTTTACAGAAGACATTACAGTGTAAAACCACAAGAAACAACTATATACTCTTTACAGAAGACATTTCAGTACATGACGTTCAATAATAGACAAAACTGCTAGACAAAAATCAAAACAGATATAGAAGACTTGAAAAAAACTATAAACCAATAATCTATAGAATATTCCAGCCAACAACAGAAGAATACACGTTTTCCTTAAGTGCACACAGAACATGATCCAGAAACAGGCTATATACTAGGCCATAAACAAGCCTCAATGAAGTTAAATGCACTAAAAAAATATGGAGTACAATATCTGGCCACAATGAAATTAAATTAAAAACAGACAAGATAAACATGTTTGGGAAATTCAAAATATGTAGCATCTAAACAATATAACTGTAAATAAGCAATGATCAAAGAAGAAATCACAGGAGAAATTAGAAAATACAATAAGATTAGTGAAAATCATAGTAATACTTCATGCCAAGTGGTTAACTTTTGATAGTAGTAAACTGTGATAAGTTACATACACACACACATATATATCAAAAGCGAGAGGCTACTAAGAAAACTATGCAAAGTGATGTACTCAAAAACTGTATAAGTAATTCAAAATGAAAATCTAAAAAAAGTTAAAGTAACCCAAAGGAAGGTAATAAAAGAGAGAAAAAAAGCAATACAGACAGAACAAACAGAAAAAATACAATGAAATGTCAGATTTTAGCCTTAACATATCAATAATTATTTAAATATAATGGTTTAAATATATCAATTAAAAGCCAAAAATAGGCAGAGTAGACTAAAAAACAGAAGAACACAAACTCCATGCCCCAACTATGACTATTTGCTGTTTAAAAGAAATTTACTTCAAATATAATAATATCGGTAGGCTGAAAGTGAAAGGATGAAGAAGACATACCGTGAAATTTTTAATTAAAGGAAAGCAAGAATATCAGATATCATTATCAGTATCAGATAAAGTAGACATCAAAGCAAAAAAATTACAATAGACAGGGACATTACAAAACAATAAAAGAACCAATCCACCAAGAAGTCATAATGATTCTAAATATGTATGTACCAACAGCAGAACTTCACAATATATGAAGTAAAAACCAATACAGCTGAAAGCAGGAATAGAGAAATCCACAATTACAGTTGGGGACTTCAACAGGCTACTGTCAGCACTTGATAGAAATACAAGACAGAAAACCAGCAGGGATATAGAAGAACTGAATAACACAATCAACCAACAGGATTGTCACGGATTGAACTATGTCCCCCAAAAATATGTGTCAACTTGGTTAGGCCATGATTCCCAGTATTGTGTGGCTGTCCTCCACTTTATGATTGTAATTTTATGTTAAAGAGGCTTAGGGTGGGATTGTAACACCCTTATTCAGATCACATCTCTGATTCAATGTAAAGTGAGTTTCCCTGGAGTGTGGCCTGCACCACCTTTTATCTTACAAAGATAAAAGGAAAGGGAAGCAAGCAGGGAGTGGGGGACCTCATACCACCAAGACAGCAGTGCCAGGAGCAGAGTGCCTCCTTTGGACCCAGAGTTCCTGTGCGGAGGAGCTCCTAGTCCAGGGGAAGATTGACGACAAGGACCTTCCTCCACAGCTGACAGAAAGAGAAAGCCTTCCCCTGGAGCTGACGCCCTGAATTTGGACTTCTAGCCTACTAGACTGTGAGAAAATAAATTTTCCTTTGTTAAAGCCATCCACTTGTGGTATTTCTGTTACAGCAGCACTAGACGACTAAGACAAGGATCTAATCAACATTTATAGAACACTCCATCCAACAAAAGAGGAATACACATTCTTTTCAAGTTCCATGGGATATTCAACAAGACAGACCAAGTCCCCAACATCTAAAGATCAATTAACAGAATACATTTAACTAATATGATAAATGACAAAAAACCTCTCAAAAGACACTAAAAATGCATCCCATGTAATCCAATGCCTATTCGTGATCAAAATTCTCAACACACTTAGAATCTGATAAAAGGCTTCTATGAAAAAACTACAAGTAATATCATATTGATTAAAGACTACTGCTGTCTCACAAACACTGGGACAAACACAAGAATCTCTTCTCTGTTGACCCCTATTCAAACACCGTATTGGGGTTCCTAGCAAAGCAAATAATTTAAAAAAAAAAAAAAAAAGGAAAGAGAGAGCATCCAGATTGGGAAGTTTAAAATAAATCCATCCTTTTTTTTCATTACAGGATCCTGTATGTGGAAAATCTTGTGAAATACACACATGCATACATACACACACACACAACTATTAGAAGTAATAAACAGGAAGTCACAGCATATATAAATATCAATTTAATTTCTCTATACTAGCTATGCACAATCCAAAAACAAAATTAGAAAAACCAATCCATTTACAGTAGAATTAAAAGAAGAAAATAGTTAGAAACATATTTAACAAAAATTGCAAGACTTATACACAGAAAAACTACTAACCATTGTTGAGAAAACTCAAAGATCTAAATAAAAGAAGAGAGGTGTCATGATCATGTTTTGGAAGATTTAAAATTGTTGACATTAACCCTCCCCAAAATGATCAATAGATTTAACATAATCCCTATCAAAATTCCAGCATCCTTTTTTGAAGAAATTTAAAGCCGACTTTTACATTTTTTCAGAAACTCAAAGGATACAGAATAGCCAAGTCACTGCAGTACTGATGTAGTGATAGACATATTGATCAGTGGAAGAGAATTCAGAGTCCAGAAATAAACTCATATATTGATTGTCAATTAATTGACAAAGTACCAAAGCGTTTCCTTGGGGAACTGCAGTAAACAAGGGGCACAGTGGGCAAATCCCACCTTTATTGTTAACCTTGTGGTAAGGATCAGCATGAATCCTGTCCCCACCTAGAAATGGATCCAGTCCTCACCTACCCCATTTCCATCCTTGCAGTCAGCTGCCAAAGCAGCACTTTCTCTCTCTGCCCCAGCCACCCAGAGCTGGGTCATAAGTTATACAAACACCTTTCATCAGACCAGCCACTCATGCAGCATTTCTCTGATCCCCCAGCTACCCAGACCTGGATCAGAGCTCACAGGTTAGAAGAACTCAGTCCTTCAGATCAGCTGCCCTTGCAGCCTGTCTTAGGCTAGGTTCTCTAGAGAAGCAAAACCAGTAAAGGGTATAAAAATAAATAGAGAGAAATTTATATCAAGGAAATGGCTCACGTGGTTGTAGAGGCTAGAACGTCCCAAGTCCATGGATCAGGACAGAAGCCCCTCCTGATTCACATAGCCACAGATGCTGGTGAGCCCAAGATCAGCAGGTCAGAGAGCAGGGGTCTTGCTCACAGGCTGCAAAATGAATCCCAAAAGTGGCAGGCAAGACCAAAGGTAAGCTGCCAGCTCAAGTCCCAAGAACTGGAGGTCAGACGAAAGAGCCAACTGCAGGATCCAGAGTAAGCAAAAGTCCACAAGCCTTGCCAGAATGTCCACTTATATTCAATGCAGGCCACACGCCCAAGGAAACTCCCTTTCAACTGACTGGCTACTCACAACAGATCCCATCATGGAGGTGATCACATTATATCAAATCTTATCATGGAAGCGATCATACAACTCACAGGAAATGATGATATTTTCAGTGGTGCTATTACTATTAGATAGCTACTTGCAAAAGGATGAATTTAGAACCTTAGCACACATTATACACAAGGATTAACTTATAGTGGATCATAGATCTTAATATAAGAGCTAAAACTGTAAAAGTTTTACAAGAAAACATAGGACTAACAGAAAACATTTTCATAAACTTGAGCTAGGCAAATACTTCTTAGATATAATATGAAAAAGTCCTCACAGAAAAAAATTAACAAATTGGACTTCATCAAAATTAAAACTGTTGTGCTTAAATATACACCATGAAAAAATAAAAAGGCAAGCCAGAGACTGAGGAAATATCTGCAAATCATATATCTGATGAAAGACTTGTATGTAGAATATATCAAAAACATGCACAGCTCCATATTAAGAAGACAAAAAAAACAAAGTTAAGAAATGAGCAAAATATTTGAATAGACATTACACCAAAGAAGATATATGAACGGCTAACATGTATATGAAAATATACTCAATATCATCAGTGATCAGAGAAATGTAAATTAAAATTACAATTAGATACCACTACATACCCACTAAAATGGCTATAAACAAAAGGACAGTGAAGCCATTAGGACCCTCACGTATCACTGGTGGGAATGGAAAATGTTATACTTATTTTGGAAAACATTTTGGTCACTGTGGACAAGTCCGAGCTCCAGCAAAGAGCTTCTACCACTAAATATGAAATGACTAGATGGTTGAATAAAATGTTTAACATTGAATGAAGGTGCCAAAACAAGTAGGTAATAATGAAAGAGTCTATGTCAAGAGTTAATATCTTACAATAAAATTTTAACATCATCAACAGAAAGACAAAGAAGATTGTGCATCCATGAAACAAAAACAGTAAGCTGTGAAAATGAATATAGAGGGAGGATACATTGTGAAATTCCAAAATACAAGCAAACTGCATTGGTTTTAGACACTAAGACTGGGAAACTTCCCACAAAATAGAGGAAAAGGGAAAAAAATGAAAACCAGTAAAGATGGAAAACAAAACAAAACAAAAAAGATAATAAAATTACTCCAGGCATTCCAAATCCCAAAGAATTGGACTCCATTTTATGGGGATATCCTGAAAGAAATAAATTTCAGGAATGATTCCTCCCCCAAATATTAACAGCTTTTTTCCCTGCCAAACAAAAACATTTATTAACGTACAACTTTTATTTCCTCTTTATATAATGTAAATAACCTCAGGCATTACTTTTAAAATTTAAAAAAGGGCTAGGATACATAGCATAAATTTCTATAATGGCTCTCAAATAAAAGTTTCTAAATATTACTAACAAACTATCCTAAAGGTAACAACTATTTTTATTTCAAAATTTCTATAAAATTAAGAATAAATATTTAATAGAAGTTTGATTGCCAATTTACTACTGATACTAAAAGTTTAAAATGCATTAACACAGAGCAAAAATAAAAATTATCATTCTTTCTCTTTTGTTAAAACTTTGTTCCAAATTATTTTGAAAAACTCTCATTGCTAATATGAGATATAAGACAATAAATCAGAATATACTTACCAAATTTTTTTCAACTACAACATGCATTTCTATAAACTGAGAGAAATCTGATACTGGCTGGAAAAAAAAAAAACACGCACACACACAACTTCATGTCAAAATTAAAGAATTTCTTAAAGATATTAATGTATATCACTACTGTTAATGACTTAATGTAGAAAAATAAGACCTTCCACATAGAAATGGAGTCCTGGTGGTACAGTGGTTACGAACTTGGCTGCTAACCAAAAGGTCGGCAGTTCAAATCCACCAGTTGTTTCTTGGAAACTCTATGGGGCAGTTCTACTCTGTCCTATAGGGTCACTATGAGTTGCAGTCAACAGCAAAGGGAAAAAAACATAGAAATACAACCAGTTATTATAAATAAAGGTATCACAGAATCCTCTTAATAATGATTTCCTTATTTCTTTCGTCACGTCTTTGATACCTAATCAAGCATTTAATTGACTCAAAAAAATAACTTTTTTCTCCCTTCCATTCTCTGCATCCTCACTGGTATTGGGCAAGTCACATTATTCTTTTCTCTGAAGAGAAATCCTCCCATCATCTCCCAAATACCAAATGTGTATATTTCTAACAGCTTAATGATGCCATTAGTACAACATTGTGTGTTACAGTCCTGCTTATGGCCCTGAAAGAGTAATGAGTATTCCCTGTGGGATTTCTTCTGAGGGGTAATGTTACTCCTGGTATAAATCATCGTGGAAAAAGGTGAGCAACAGAGTTAAAATGACTGACTTTCTTAAGCTGGATCACAAATGTCTAATGCTGTGGATTCTGGATGGTGGATATGGTGTCACCCACTTAGATTATAGCAGTTAAAGGCACAGATGCTGGAGCCAGGCCACGTGGGATCGGAACTCTGGGCTAACTTCTCTGTGACTTAGATTCAGCTGAATAAGGATGAGTAAGTAAAAATTGTTGTGTTATTAATAAAAGTGCTAGCCATTTTCATTATTATTATTATTATATGAAGGCAATCTAGGATTAATGCACTAGGGAAAAACTGTAAGTGACCTATTAGGGTTTGCAAATACTTTGATGTTACAGTGTGGATAATTCAAAATAGTCACTAAAATAA